CCGCAAAACACACTGCGAGGCCACGGACCATGCTGCTGCCTTGGAAGGACTGAATATCTTCAGGTATTGTGGGCCAGGAGCTGTGCAAACGGAGGCCTGAAGCCTGTATCTTCACCTGTAAAACAGGTGCTGTGCCAGCTGCCATGTAGTCCAACCACGGTAAGACCAAAGCAACAGGGATCTTCCTCCATCCTGTGCCGACCTCAGGACTTATCCTAAGCAATGCTGCAGTGCGGGAGAACTGTGCGTGTGCACACATTCATGCACCCTCACTAAGTATCTGTCAACTAGGGAGTGCACAAACACCTCCCTCACAGGGCTGTTGAGAAACCAATGAAAAGGTAAAATAGCTGGTATAAGAGCCTCACACAGCCATGCCGTGGTCCCTTTTTCCTCCTCTGTTTCTCACCAGGGCCAAAGACAGACAGACAGCCAAGTTAAAAGAAAGACTGCTGGGGACAATTAATTAAAAATAGCTCTTATGACAAAACTTCCATGACTATTTTGCCACTGTGTGTTATGGCTTTTGCTTCTCATCTTATTTAAGATTCTGCCTAAACTATCAGAGAACAGAGTGATTTGCAAAGCAACTGACAACATACTCTAAGGACAAATAGCACCCTACTGTGTGGGTCACTGGGGAAAGGACACCACAGGAAGGTGACTGTCAAGGCAGAACCCATTGTCTCAGGGAGTCAGGTAAGGCACACCTGAATTTCTGAGCTCATGTGGTTTGGACAGGACAAGTGCTGTCTTGAAGTACCACAGTCCTCCATTCCTTTGTGCACAGGTCCAGCCTGACTAACTACAAAGGTCAAAGAAGATGGCTCTGGAGTTAATTTTACACGTTAACAGAATTTAGCACCAAATCCTTTCTACAAAACATCATTTAAAACATTAGGCTGGGTGATGGCTCAAGAGGTAAGAGTGCCTGCCTAGCAAGCGCGAGGCCCTGAGTTTGAACGCGACAAAATGCCTTTACTGTCTTCTCTTTAAAGACATCCATGACTACTCGGAATTGGGAATATGCAGGTCTAGTGACCCTACAGCAGGTCTGGAATTCTGCTGAAAGTAAAACCAAGCCTAATTTATTCTCTATTTTTAATTCGACAATAGGCCAAAATTCCGGCATTCTAATAAAAGTCTGAAGTTTTTGGGTTACAGTGATTAAAGCAAGTACCAAGATTTTTCAAAGGGGTTCTCCACATTAGAAAATATGAATTCTTGACTTAGGGTTCTGAAACTAATGCATTCAGATGACATTTAATAGACAGGAATTTTCAAGCACTAAACTCTTATCTTCAACTGCACCCTTAATTTCGATACCTTGAAGTCACAGGGGAAAAGAAAATAGGCCTCAGTGTGAGTTCAGATTGAGTTCTTCAAACTGAGAGGCGAGTGGATTTGGTTTCTTCCCACAGTATGGACAGGAGACAAGACCGCTAATTAGCACTGACAGTTTCATGGCCTCTCTTTCCCCTCTTACCATGAGGCGTCCTGAGCCTTATCTGGTTCCCGTACGGGGCCAGTGTGTATTTCCTATAAACCACTGGTACATATTTCACAACGGCACAAAAGTTGTTCAACTTTTCAGGAAATGTAAGTCAGTGATGAAGAAAGTTTCAAGACAGCTTTGAAGGACAGGATGAGATAGGAACTTGGACACTTCCCTATGAAGAGAGAGATGCCAGGCATGAATGAGGTGCACAGTCACCAGTTCTACATTCTGACACTCTGGATATTTGGGGAGATCAGTCAAGGTAGGCAGCACGGACTGCCATATCAGGACTTTTCTCTTGGCCAGAGGCACGGGGGAGTGTGGGGGTTCTGATTAGAGGGCCGACAATGAGAAGAATGGCAGCCACACTCCTTCCCAGGAGAAAGGCTGTGAAAGCTGCTGTCCACTCAACCATCGTGGCCCAGGCAGCTTGTCAATGGACACCAGTTACTTTTGAACGTGGGCAAGAGATGAAGCAGGACTTTCAAGTTATTCAGACAGTCACAGTCACGTGCAAAAGGGATCTTCTGTAACACTAATGTAAAAACGCCAGGACTATGGCTGCTGAATAAACCTGAGTGGGAAAGGGGGAGCCTGGGGCGATCAGGAGACATATGCAATAGCAAAAGAAGCATCTGAAATTGTCTTAGTGCCCACCACGCATGATACCTAAACAAAGCCATTTTTTAAATAAAATCCCTAATATAACTTTTGTTTTAAAATTATCTTATTCCTAATTTTTATAAAATATAAACTATATTGAAAACTCGAGGCCAAGCAAGGTGCCTGCCACTGGACAAGGGCACTGTATGTAAACAAATGTTTTCTTGGTGTCGTGTGTAAGTTTGTCACGTGGGTGCTGCTCGAAGTGGACAGTACTCGGGAAAGGCTTCGTTTGCCGGGAACTCAGCCACACGCACTTCAAGTGGAGCTACTGGTTTATTCTGTTGAATTTAAATGTGTTGAGAGCTCTCCATGCGTGCTCATCTGCAGAGCTGATGGTTTCACTCTTTCAATTAAACATTTCTGTTAGCAGAGAAAACTCAATGCTTTGCCACGACCATCGAGGAAACGGAGCACCTGAGAAGAGGTCAGGGTCGGGAGCTCTGTGCTGAATAATGGAGTGTGCTAGCAGGTGCAGAGACTAGCCCTGTGTTTCGGCTCAGAAGCTGCACACACCCAGGGTGCTTCCAGTCCACAGCTCCATTCTGCCCCTCTTCTCCAGCACACAGTAGACAGTCCAGCCGGTCCCTCCCCATCAGTGAGGCTCGGATCCTAAAACTGAGCCCTGGGTAATTTGCACACGACTGTCTGGTGTCTCTTATCTCCCACAGCATGCAGTGCTCTCCTGGGCTAGAGGCTGGATTCTGCTATAGAATTAGAATCCTGCAGGTTTCAGGCGATCTATTTTAAAGTGTGGTGCCCTACTGAGGCTGCCCTGACTGTCTGGCAGGGTCACACTTCCTTCCTTCAAACCAGAGGAGAGGAGGTGAAGAAAGCTGCACTCAGACGGTACAGATGGACAGACAGTGGATTTCTGCTAAAGACACACTCCTCTTCTCTTTCTGCCAAGGTGGCTGTCTCAATGGCAGAAGTAAGTAATGCATGTTTTGAACTTGAACACAAACACAGCTTTCACTCCTTTGGATGTAAGGGAAACACAGGATCTAAAAACATGTTGGTAAAGTGACGAAGACCACATGCATTATTTTCTGTCTTCAGGTTGTGGCCCCACAGGTGGTTCAGACCTCCTGCTGTGTCTTAGAGCACATAACTCCTTGTCACAGAGCTGTATTCCTTAACCGCACACGACTGGACACTGTGGACTGGATCTTCTCTGCTGTGGGGCTGTCCTGTGCACTCTAGGGTGCTCAGTAGCGTCTCTGTTTTCTACTTCCCAGATGCCAGGAGCACTGGCCTCCCTCAGTTGAGACAATGAAAAATGTGTCTAAGCTAGGCATGGTGGTGCACACCTATAATCCCAGCATGCTGAGCCATGAGGATCAAGTTCAAGGCCAGCCTGGGCTAGAGACTGAGAACTTTCTCAAAAAACCAAAGCAAAATGAACTAAAGAAATGTCTCTAGATATTGTCAGATGTCCTGGAGACACTTACAGAGCAGAATTACTCCTGGTTCAAAACTACGGGTTTAGAATGTAAATAAGCAAAATAGTGAAACTTTGACTTCCTTATTCTTTTCAGCAAGATTTCAGATAGCTGCACATCCCAAACCCTCCGCCAAAGGACCCAACCAAGTTCAGTATCTATAAACAGCAAGAAAAACCCAATCTCGGTTTTACATGTAACTCGAAATGTTTTAAGCTTCGAAATCTTAACTTCAGCAGTCTAACAAACTTTCAGATTTAAACTTTTCATTTTTAAAAACTTACAGTTGATTTTTAACTTTGCAACTAGTTAACAGAAATGAATTTTAGGTCAATAGGCAGCGCCCAGTCTTAGTTGAGAAAGGCTGGTCTGCTCATCCTGAAAGACCTCCTTACTCTGATTTCAGATCTGCTCTGGGGGTGGAGCACTTGCCTCCAGGGTTCTGGGTTCGATCTCCAGCACCACAAAAAGAAGAAAAAAACAGGCGCTGGTGACTACGCCTGTAATCCTAGCTACTTTGGGAGGTTGAGATTGGAGAATCTTGGTTCAAGGCCAACTGGGGCAAATTGTTCACAAGACCCCATCTCCAAAACAACCAAAGCAAAATGAACTAGAGGTGTGGCTCAAGCAGTAAGGCACCTGCTTTGCAATCACAGAGAACTGAGTTCAAACCCGTGTCGAAGAAGAAGGAAGAAGAAGAATCTCCTCAAGGGAACGTGGTCCTGCCGAACAGCTGTAGACACAGCTGCACATCGCCAACCTGAGCAACTCTGCCCTTTGGCCTCACAGGTTCTGCCTGTTCTGACACACAGTGCTACAGGAAACGAGTTTGGAAGCACAGAATACTCACAGAAACTTTCCGTCCTTTTGTTTTACCATCTCCCAAGAGAACGACAGCCAAATGATCAGGGCTATTCTCAGGTTGCCGTGGAGACAACACTTGGTCCTCATATTAGCAATGTCAGCCAAGCCCTCTTCAGCTAAAGTTTTCTAGCTAACGTTTAAAGGCAGAAGTTGTTTCCTGCAGGGCTGGGATTGAATCCAGGCCCTTGAGCACACTAGGCAAGCCTTCTACCACCGGCCTCTAACACCCCAACCCCCAAAACAGTGTTTTCTTATTTTTGAATAATCATTGCACATCCATCATAGCCTAATGCAGACACAGCAAGGCCACATAAAGGCAAGCCTGTCAAACTGTCTGTCTTAGATTAGGTTAGTCTTTCTTATTTATAGCAACAAAAAAAGATGCAGATACGCACGCAACAGTATTTCTCAAATGAACACAACTTAAAACCTTGCTACTTCCTGACTACTCCAGGCAAAAGAAACCACAGCGATTGCACCTATGAGAAGAGCAGCTCCTAGAACTAATCAGATCCGAAGACAAGGATACACACCATCGAAACTGCCTTGCTCTGAGGCGAGGTGCAGCAGCTGGTTATATGTTTCCACTGAGGGCTGATAGACAAAGACTCCGGAGTTGAAGCAGTCAGGCCACCCTGGGTCCGGAGCTGCTGACAATTCTTCTCTCTCAAACAGATCATCGATGTTTGCTAGGACCTGGTTCAAGAAGGGGACAGCTGTTACAGGAGTGTCTCACCACAGCAAACCCTATCCAACGGAAAAGATGGTGACAGCTGTAAGGTGGCCCCAGACGACTCTCCTTCATCACCTGACACGTTTTAGGACAGTGGTTTTATCAGAACTTCACTGGCAAGTCTTGCCAGTATTCCCCAAATGCCTCCCAGGCCTCCGTTTCTACGGACATCTTTTTGGCCCTAGAAGCCACACTCACCAGAGTATCTGCATCCATGAACACGCATTTCGAATAGTGTGTAAGTGACCAGCAGTGGAGTTTCGTCAGTGTGACACCCAACTCGGGTCTCTTCATTAAGGTCAGATGAGCAGAGTCACCACTGTCTAAGACGTCTACCATGATGACCTCATCAAAGACTGTCTCTAAAACTTTTCTGCCAAGAGATTTCAGAAAACAGCCCTTAGAACCTTTCCATAATGAGTGACCCATCCAAGTTCAGACTATTGCCTTACTGCCTTGTCCGTCAGCTGCCAGGCAATCTGTCTCCTTGGTGCAGCACATCCCCCTAAATCTGTCCTAATTTACTTCAGAACAAATGGTGCCCTTGTGCGGGAGCAGTTGACAACACTAAAGTAATGAGAACTGCTCGTGCGAGGGGGGAGTGCTGCCTGACAACATCACTGCACAGAAGACCTTTTCTGCTCCTTTTGTTCTGTCACCAGGCGAGGTGTGGGGACTGACATTGGTAAGGGCGGACATCCTGTGCCAACCCATGTATGGGACGGTGATATTTTATTAGGATCTTTTCTCACTGACTAGTGCATGGTTTTACAAATTGTGCTGAGCGATGTGCGTATGATATGTGCAATGGAGCCTGCAGCTACTCACTTTTATGAAAGCGATTGACTGGGAATTGCTGAAGCTGGGTGTCCCATTGTTTTTGGAATCCATTGTAACCAGCGTTTACTATGTTTTTAAGGTTCTACTCGGGCCTCATGACAGACTCACTTGGGTCTGTGAGGTACAGTGCTTCTTCATGCCCAGAATTCACTGCATTTTTATTTTAGAAAGCTCCCGAGGAAGGTTAGTGGAACAGACTTGGGTAAGACACTAAACTCAGCATAAGCAAAAAAATCCAATACACAGCTCATCAGTGAAAGGTTTTAGCAATATCAGATATGCAGAGGAAAACTGGCGTCGTATTCTGTCTTGAAAGCTGCACAAAAATGTTCTGGTTTACACAGTCGATTTGATCCTTATCGAAGGGACAGCCAGGAAGCATAGTGAATGGGTGGCAAGGGGACTCCAGGATTAGGTCTGGCTTCGTCTTACACACATCCTCACTAATGGACCGCCCGTAGGAGGCAGCCTTTTTGGCCTCTTCCTACATACGCTTTAGGATCGAGGTTGTTAGTGTGGACGATGTACATTCATATATATAATGCTTACTTTTCAGAGGCCTCAGGCTTATGCTAATATTTAAAAAATGTGAAGGGGCTTTCAATTTCTAAGAGCCTGGGAGGCTGAAAAAACAAACATAACACAGAGCTGCTAGTGTGCCCAGATATTTTTAAAGTTAATAATAGTAACTAGGTAATTCATTTATATACCTCAAAATTTAATTCCATCAAATCAAAGAGCGCTAACCCAGACTGGGGCTGTGGCTGAAGTGGTAGAGCACTTGCCTGGCAAGTACAAGGTCCTGAGTTCAAACCCCAGAAAACATTTTAAAAAGTGAACTATCCCAGTCAACAAGCAACTTGTGCCTCTCAGAGTGACTCCCCTAGCAAAAGCTTTAGTTCAGAAAGCCCTGTGGTAAAGATTCTAGTGCATGACGTTATTAATAAAGCTCTTTGGGTTAAGAAATCAGCTAGCCATGGAGGAAACCACTAAGTTTTGTTCAAAATTGCCTGAGGGTTTCCTGGTCTGCAACAGGAAGCAACGTAGCCCCTGCTGCATCTTGGGAAAGGAGTGCAAGTGACCTGAGACTCTGTAGGAGCACTGAAGCAGGTTCAGCTGGACGGGAGAGTTGGTGAGAGGACTGTCCTTCTCCCACTGCTAGCTGCAGTCAGGAAGAGGCAGGCCAGACACTATCTCCCAGAAGCGAATATCTCCCAAGGAAGCAAGAGGTGTCAAACGAGAGTGACCTCAATGTCACAGAGAGGAGGAAGTCAGAGCCCCAGGAATAGATGGACAGACAGACGGGCAGTGAAGGCTCACCTCATGGCATCTGAGACCTGTGGGGTGGCGAGTACCACCAGCCTCCTGGTGGTCCTGTGCTGTTTCAGAGAGGAGCCCAGGACCAGGGCACCTTTGGCGTAGGCATCGTTTGTGGTCAGTGTCACAAAGGCCTGATCTTAATACAAAGGAGAAAAAACACACTCATTACAATATCACACCTGGAAAAAGTCTTTCCTGGGCCCTTTTCAGACAGAAATTCAGCAAATTCAGCCCCTTGGAGATGGATTTGCTCTATTAGTAAGCAGGAAGTCACTTAAGAGTGCTTTAAAACCATGGGTCAGCAGGACAGGCCACCAGCCTTCAAGAGGATGATTGAGCTGTGAGAACAAATTCAGCCCAGAGTCCAGACAGATGAATTCTCAGACCACAAAAACTTACCACCCAGGGGGTGAAGTTAAGCTAATTATCAGGTGGTAATGCGATTAAGAAGTCCACCTCCCTTTTGTCTACTGGGCACGGTGGACAGTAGTTTCAACCACGCACAAATTCAACTGCAGAGACCACATTCCTTACGCTGCTGCATGCTTATGCCATGACTCAGGCACCAGGAGCCACCAGACTTCTCTGAGTCTCTGCTCAAACAGCACCATCCCTCCTTGATGCTACTACCGAGTGGCCTGTCATTAAGAGGGTTTAAAGACCACCTCACAAGCTCTAGCAAACCTGCCCCCCCAACACACACCCCCCCAATCTCCAGAACCCCCCTGCAAGAACCAAACCCAAAATGGATTCTTCTGCACCCTTCTGGCCTTTTAAGATTTCTCCAGGCCTCTCCTAGGACAGTTCTGGACTCGTTGGGCATCCTAATGCATGAGACACTTAGCTCAAGCTGGGGCAGGGTTTACATGGGAGCGCTGTTGCCCAACCAGGGAGTTAGGACATTTTGTCATGCAGTCACTCTCTGTCTTGGGTTTCCTCATTCTCCCTGCCCATTTTCTGAAGTAGTGGAAATTTCATTGAGAAGTGACAGGGAGCCGTGGCCTGGCCGTGTAGACCAGTGCGCGCCCCAGGCTCGGATCCGGACGCCACTGTCACTCACACTATTGGACCCTCTTTTAGAACAGGCCACTGCTAAGGTGTAGAGAGAGCCCGCGTCAATCCCACTCCAGGAACGCTCAGCACAGTGACACCTGTCATTGACGTGGCCGTCAACCTCTGCCTGCACCTGCTTCTGCTACCGTCACCCATCGGGTGGCGGTAACACTCCAAAGTCACTCTGCACCAAATTCCGTTTTCACCCCCGGCCACCCGGATTCCGGAGACGGTGTGGAAAGGTGAGCGTGAGCAGGACTCAAGGATTTCAGGACGCAAGGGCATGGCGGGCTTCCAGCACTAACTGCAGAGGACCGACGCCGGGGACGCAGACCTGGCAAGGACCAGGAGCAGGACAGCAGTGACAGCTGGGCGGGGTACTCGGGTCCACCTGCGGTCCCCGGGCGGTCCAATGGCCCTGAAAACGCGATTCTGGCTGCAAAGACGCGGAAGGGGCCGGGTGGCCCAGACGCCTCAACAAGTGGCCCTGGACGCTGCAGGCGGCCCCGGAGGAGGCCTAAAAATAACCGGGGACGACGGCGGGGCCTGCGGGCGGCCGTGCGCGGCCCTCGGCCTGCGGGGCGCGGGCGCAGCGTTACCTGCCATGGTGGTCCGGGCGGCGGCCCGGGCTGGGATGAGCCGGGCTGGGATGAGCCGGGCTGGGCAGGAGGAGCGAGCGCGGCGCGGGACAGCGCAGCGCGGGGCCGGCGGAGGCGCGGCGGGGCAGGGCGTCCGCCCTGAGCGCTCTTATAGCGGCCGTCACGTGGCCGCGCGCGCTCCCGCCCGGCACCGCGGGGGCGCGGCCTGCGCCCCAGGCTCCATCTCCCTCTCCGCGCGCGCCCGGCATCCCTGTGCGCCCCGCCTCCTGCGCGCCCCGCCTCCCTGCGCGCCCCGCCTCCTGCACGCCCCGCCTCCCTGCGCGCCCCGCCTCCTGCACGCCCCGCCTCCCTGCGCGCCCCGCCTCCTGCACGCCCCGCCTCCCTGCGCGCCCCGCCTCCTACACGCCCCACCACCCTGTGCGCCCCGCCTCCCTGCGCGCCCCGCCTCCTGCACGCCCCGCCACCCTGCGCGCCCCGCCTCCCTGCGCGCCCCGCCTCCCTGCGCGCCCCGCCTCCTGCACGCCCCGCCCTCTGCGCGCCCCGCCTCCTGCGCGCCCCGCCTCCCTGCGCGCCCCGCCTTCCCCTGCCGCCTCCTCCACTCTGGGTCTCCAGTGCACCCAGCTCCCTCCCCGCCCGGCCTCCCTGTGTCCCTGGCCTCCTGCAAGCCCCGCCTCCTGCGCTCTCGGCCTCCCTGAGCTCCCGGCCTCCCTCCGGCCCCAGCCTCCTGCGCTCCTGGCCTCCCTCCAGCCCCGGCCTCCTGAGCTCCCCTGGCCTCCCTCCGGCCCCAGCCTCCTGCGCGCCCCGCCTCCCTGATCTCTCGGCCTCCCTCCAGTCTCGGCCTCCTGAGCTCCCAGCCTCCCTGTGTCCCCGGGTTCCCTGTACGCCCGGCCTCCCTCTGTCCCTGGCCTCCCTGTGCGTCTGGCTTCCTGCAGCCCGGCCTCCTTCTGTCCCTGGCTTCACTGAGCTCCCGGCCTCACTCTATGCCCGGCCTCCCTTCCTGTCTGGCCAAACTGCGCCCCGGGAGCTCCTGGCGGTTCCCATCCCGCCCGCACCTGCCAGGAACGCTGTCTCTCTATCACCCACCCCCACCGCCTTTCCCAGCCAGAGCTTGAAGAGGGCAGTGGAGCGGAGTGTCATGAAATTCCAAAGAAGCTAGAGGTAGGGAACCTTAAAAAACAAAACAAAACAAAAACCAAAAAAAACAACCAAGCAGCCCGGATCGCTCTGGTTGTTGAACTGCCTAAATAAAGCACAAAGTTTACCTCCACTTGCTTTCACTTAGAACTCCAGATCGGCCGCCAGAGCCATTCCTTTGTATCCTCACAGTGGTTTTGTGTGGCCTTCACCTAAAGCAGATATTGGGTGCTTACTAGAAATTTAGACTCAACACTATCTGTGTAGATTAGATATTTAAATACTCCCCTGAGTCGTATTCCCACTCAGTGGGGTAGGTGTTATATATTCACTCGACAGATGAGGAAACTGAGAAACTACTTTTCTATGGTCAGGGAATGCAAGTGGTGAAGGTAGGACTTGAACCCTCATCACCGGAAAGCTGTAGCACATCCTTGCTCTGTAACAGGCAGTGAGTTATGGTAACCCTGGTTAGGTAATACACTGTTTCACAAATCTTGAAATGGTCCACTGGTGATTTCTCTGGGAAGTTGAGAAATAGCTAGCTCTCTAGTGTGGTCACACCCTTCCCCTCGCCCCATCCCTCCCACCCAGCAAGCACAGCAGGAAAGCCGCAGATCCCTTCCTACCTGCTCTGTGCAGTCACTCAGCCATCCAGTGTGAATTCTAAATGCCATTTGGACGCTGACAATCTCCCTTTAGAAAATTAAATAGATGCTAAGAATAAATGATTTAATGGCAGAGGAGGTACTGCTGTCATCAAAGCGATCACAGTGGATCCTCAGCTCACAAAGGCCGTTGAATTTTGTGTTTCTCAACCTTGCCCCAGTGCAAAAGCGACATGCATCCACTAGAAAGCCTACCTGCAATTTGGATCTTTTCCTAGGCTAGTGACGTGTGGTGTGATTCTCTTCCATGCTGCTGGGAGCCTTGGAGGGCCCAGCTCCCAGGGTAAACAACTAGATTGTTACTGAACTACGGTGTTTGCTAGGTTAGGGGTGTGAAAGGCGACTTGGGGACTTCAGCTACACAGTTCATAGGGATTCAAACTACTCGCATCAGAAATGAAGGGGCGCCCGTAGATCACCGCCTCTTCACTGTGGGCCTGGACCTCCTGCGTCAGAATCACTGGGGCACTGTTGTTTTGAAACTTTGTTTTTAAAATTTCATTTTTGAATTAACCTACATTATATGAGATTTCATGGCGATAATTGCACACACGCATGAAGTATTCCTTGAACAAATTCACCCTCCATCATATTTTCATTCCCCTCTTGCCTCCTCCTTTTCTAGCAGTGTTTGGTGGGCTTCATCTTGCTGTCTTCGTAGGTGTGTGTGCCCCACGACCAGCCTCTTCATCCCTGGGTGTCTTTTCCTTTGCCCCTTCCACTGATCCCCTCCCCCAGACATTCATGTTGGGGTACTTGCTAAAGCATAAATCTTTGGGCGTACATCCAGACCTCCTTGAATCTGAATATTTTCAAATATATTTTTTATTTGATTGATGGTAACTGTATATATTTGTGGCATACAGTGTGACACGTCAATACATGTATACATTGTATAATGATCAAATCAGGGTAATTGGTATATCTATTATCACAATAGAAATCTGTTTGTTGGTTTTTTTGATCAAACCCAGAGCCGTGTACCTGCTAGGCAAGTGCATTACCACTGAGCTACTCCTCCATCCAAAAACCTGGCTAATTGTTGTTTGAGATGGAGGTCTAGCTATGTGTCCAGGCTGGCCTCAAACTCTTTGATCTCAAGCAATGCATCCATCTCAGCCTCTGGACTAAATGGGACTACAGGTGTGCACCACTTGCCCCTGATTCACAATGTTAAGGTTAGAGTCCAAGAATCAGTATTTTAAATATGACCCTCTGAGAGTGTGTTGAGTCCTCCCCACGACTCAACATGGTTGAGAGACCACTGGTGGTGTGGGGGAACCTCCCAGGCACTTGGCATTATACACTTCCTTTGCAGGAAACAGAAGTGCAGGGGTAAAGGAGCAGAGGATGGGTTTCCACACACCCAGCCCTGTAGGCTTAAAAGGGATGAGTTCTTTACCGCCTAAGTGGGGAGTTGAGGGGCTTTGCAGTCCCGATCCCCCTTTTCAGAGCGAGGTCTGCTGGGGTGCCCACCTTTCATCCAGGAAACCTCTACCTTACCCCCTGCTGCTCTCAGCTTGGTGTCTCAGGCTGGACTCCACCATGGTGGAGGGCAGGGCCAAAGGGGAAAGCCAGGAGGAAGAACGAGGGACAGCTGGGAGACCGGATGGCTTCCCTCTCAGCTACCCTTCCCAGGGACCACAGCCTTCACTCTTGGCTTTCCGTATGTTCCCGAAAGTTTATAGCTTTTGTCACTTCGACTCAAATAAGGGTGTTTTGAGGTTATTACAGTCACCTGTCAAGGGAGTCAAGTAGTGACCCACTGCCTGATTTCCTGAGGTGTCTCTGCCTCGAGCTTCAGTTGGGTGTGAACTTTAATGTGCACACAGATTGCTTGCACATCTGATTAAAACGCCACCCAGGTGATCCTCAGGCCATGGACCAACTTTGCAGAGGGAGGTGGCTGAACATTTTGGATTACACAACATCAGACAAAGTACATAGATGTGTGACAGTGAGGCCAGTGCTTGTCAATTGTCTTGTGACACATAAACTAGTGGATTACTAAAGCCTAAGAGAAAGATTTAAGTGGAAGAAAACTTGTATCTACACTGATAGGCAGAGCCATGTGAGCAATCGGCTTTTGGCCCCAAATCCGTTTTTGATTGGCTTTGGAACGTCTTATGTAAGTTTTTGGCAGGAGACTTTGCTTCCTAATCATGTTTTGTTTACAATGATGGTGAAGTCAGTTTGCATCCACTTGAGCACACACACTAATTAATGGTTGGGCAAGTAACCTGGAAATTGATTCCAGGCCAGGGGGCAACCATTTGCCTGAGTCACAACCAGTTCCCAGGGACAGTCCCTGATCTGGAAACACCACATCAGCCCAGGCACAGGAGACAGTCAACTATGCCCAGAATTGTTGCCAGTGATCACATCACTAATTCCAACCAAAAGCTTAATTTCAAGAAATAATATTCTCAGAGGCCCAAAGTAGCCCTCTCTGCCCTCAGCAGGTGGAACCCCAAACTCTACAAGTTGCAGTGGCCTGGTGACTAGTTATATTGCCTTAAAAAACATCCTTATGGAGATAGAGTTGACACACCCTAAAATTCACCCATCTATGCTGAATTCAGCTAAAATCGCACAGCTAAATGGTTTTCAGATACTAAGTTGTGTAACTACTAGCTGCATAAATTTAAGAAGATTTAGAAAATTCCCCCCATGCCAGACAGCTGATAATCTGTTTTCTGTTTCTAAACATTTGTCTGTTGAGATTTCCCTGCCTGTGGTCTTTGTGACTGAGTTCTTTCACTTGGTATAACGGTTTCAAGATTCCTCCATGTTTGGCACACAACGTTTTATTGTTTTTAGTTGACAGGCCATAGTGTATTATGTATACTTACAGTGTGTCCACAGCATGGAGAACATGTCAGTGGACTTGGCTCGTTTGCACTCCTTGGCTATCTGTGCAATGCTGCTATGAACATGTCTGTCCAAGTTTTTGTTGAACAGGTGCTTTTCTTTTTCCTTTCTCTCTACCAAGAGTAGACTGGTTCCATCAGGTTCACTATGCTCAACCCTTCCAGAGCAGCTATACTATTTCCTATGATGTCTGACTCATTTCCCATCCCCACCAGCAAGGTGTGTGTGTGGGGACAACTTCTTCACTTCTTAGCTGACATTGTGATTGTCTGATTATCACAGCCCTGATGGCTTTGAAGTGAGATCTCATTGTGATTCTGATTTGCTCCCTAATGACTTGTGATACAAAGTATCTTTCATTTGCTTATTGGCATTTGTGTATCTTGTTTAGAGAAAAGTCCATCCCAGCCTTTCACTCATTTTTAAGTGGGGTGGT